CCCCTTCCTCCTCTTCCTCCCCGTCTTCCCCCTCTTCTCTCTCTTTCCCTCTCTTGTCCTGTGCTTGCTTGTTTTTTAAGCTCCTCTGATTATAATTTTCCACTCAGGACACAAGTAAAAATTATAAGTGCCATAACTCATTGCCTGCTTCTTCTTGGGTCTTTGCTTACTATTCCCACAGTGCCCTTCCTCAAGACCAAACTATTTTAGAGTTAGGAGAAACAACCCTTCCTTACCTACGGAGGAACTGACATCCTTTGTCTTCCAAAATGGGATACGAGGGAGCTTTCAGTAGTGCATGCACAGTCTAAATATGAACATTGCAAAGGTGGAAAGGCTAACGGAAGTCTGTAAGAGGAGGTATGCCAGTGCCTATTGTGAGCCTGGAATCTCACTTTCAGATCTCTGAGGGAAGAGAAGGGGAGGGTAGTTCACAGTTTTTGTAAAGGGATCTTTTTTTTCCCCCTCAAAAAAAGTGTGATCTAGACTTAAAGACAAGATCTCTTTGTGTATCTAGCTGGCCTGAAACTTGAGATCTCCTTGTCCCGCCCACCAAATGCTGCAATCACCATTGCAGAGCCACCACAGGCAGTTTAAGAGAACCTTTATCTACCATGAGCCCCTCTTCCTGGGCTGATCATGAAGAGGTCTCTGCCTCTGATGACACCCTGGCAGAATTCCTACCTGTCTCTTAAATTTGAAAGGCTCTTATCTGGGATCCTGGTTCTCTCCAAAAGACATTCAATATTGAGATATTTTTAGCCACAGTTTCAAAGAAGTTGTAGAAATAGCCCCGAACAAATGAGGTAAAAATGATACAAAACTGTGTTCTGTGCCCCCTTTTATATAAACATGCACATTAAAAAATAGAAATACTGCAGAAAATGTGTGGGGTTGGAGATCCTTATACTCAGTAAAATAAACCAAACTCAGACCCATAATACTGGTCTGCTTCTGTCATATGTGAAAAGTAGACTTAAATATATATGCAAATTACATATAGGCAATGGAAATAGACCGGAGAGATGAAAGTAGAGGAGGAGGTCCACGAGGGGGAGGGAGAACCAGAGAGGGCATCAGACATTCAAGTCATGAAACCAGAATCCAGGGGTGCTGTACTTGGGAGGAAGAAGGGAACAGCAAGAGGGGGAGGGGGTGACTAGGAAGGAGTGAGGGCACAGCACAGGAATAAAGTACAATGTAATGTATACACACACACACACGCACCCACACACACGCACGCACACACACACACACACAGAATTGTTGAAATTTCTATTTATGCCCTTGTGGAAAAATTGCTATTGTCCTGATCATTAAAAACTAAACCCCCAAAACTCAAAATGTTAATACGACTAATTGCATTTGAACATCAATCTCGCTTTTAGGTGAAACAGATCGATTTCACAGGAAGCCTGGTAAAAGTGGCACAGAATTGCAGCTACATGGTCTTTGACACGGTGGCAGATAGCTCTCTAGAAGGAAGACAGTCTTCCCACCAACAGCACTACTACATTTTGAATGATGTATCCCAGGGTGTGTGAGTTACAGGTTTGGCTCTCATTGTAGTTCTCCTGGAAAGCCATGGAGCCTTTAAGAAGCAAAGCCTGCTAGGAGACCCTGGTCATTAGTGTTTTGAAGGGGACTGTGGGAGTCTGACCTCTTCCTTTTCCTCTTTCACTTCCTTGTGCTCTCTGCCTTGATTTATTGCTTTACTATGGATACTCAAGAACAATGGAGACATTTAATCATGGGACCAAACTCTAAAAACCATGTAAGCCTAAATAAACCTGTTTTCTTGTCATATTGATTACCTTGGATACTTGTTACAGTAGCAGAAAGCTGTTTGATACAAACTCAACATGCAAAACGGTGAGGCTAAGATACAGGTTTTGCGCTTTTCACAAAAACTAACTCAAAAGTAGGCCCTAGACCTCAACATAAAGTGCAAACCTTGAAGAGTCTTTTTAGGTAACATCAATGAAAATCTCGATGACCTTAGAAGTCTTATTAGATGCAGCAGAACTATGATCCTTGAAAGAAAGAAAAAAAATAGACTTTAAAGTTCAAAACATTTGCTTAAGTCATTTTTAGATTTATTTGCTTTATTTTATAAGTGTGTGTATTTTGCCTGCGTGCGTGTATGTTCACCACCTGTGTATATTAACAACAGAAATCAGAAGAGAGCATCAGATCCCCTAGAACTGCAGTTAGGGAGGCTTGTGAGCCACTGGGTGGGGTCTAGGAACTCAAGCCAGGCCCTCTCAAGAGTAGTGAGTGCTCTTATCCACGCGCTCTTCAGCTAACTTGGGTGAACACTTGGAAGCATACTGAAAGATCACACGGTACAACATAGTCAGTTGTAGAGGAAACTAAACTGACTAAGTTATCTCCTAAAGTGGCTGTGTTACCTTGTATTCCCACCAGCAAAGAATGAAAGTCCTTGTTGTCCTCCATCCTTGCCTGCACTTGTTAGCCGTGTTGGGTTTTAGCCACTGTTATGTGGCAGTGTTCTCCTTCAGGAAGCCCTTTAAGACAGAAAGCAAGCAATTCAACATCATTTCAGGAAGTCCCTGAAGCTGACAAGAGTCACTAGGCCCCTCTGTAGTAAACTGTAGAGACTGTTGAGGATTGCTCTCAGGAAAAATGCAAAGAAACTCCAAGACCAGTTTGGCAGTCTGGAAGAAGCAGAAACCAGATAAGCTGTTTGGAAGAGGCTCAGCTGAGCCACCTGGAAAGGATAGCCTCCAACCTGCCTGCAGGCTGTGCGGTGTGCTCCAGGTTCCCAACATTTGTGAGCTGTCTTCATTCATGCTGGGGTGGGCTTTTTTTTAATTTTGTAATTATATTTATGTACAGAAAACTTATTGTACATTTAACCCAGTTTAGTGGTGAGTTCTTTTGCCTTTGCCTTTTCCAGTTTGGCAATGCGAGCCACAGACTTAGGATCCAGGACGTTGCCTCCCCAGTGGAGGCGGATCTCCTCATATCTGTCATTATAATTGGTCCTAATAGCTTCCAGCAGCTTAGCCAGAGCACCCTTGTCTTCCGAGTTAACCTGTGTGAAGGCAACAGTGGTTGCATGTCTTCCTGTGGACCAGGCGCCTTAGCCTGGCCTTTCCCCTGATGATAAGGCACCCCCATCTTTTGACACAGGGCAGGCAGGACAACCACCAGCTCAGTGGGAGCTACATCATGGGCAATCACCACCAGCTGAGCCTTCTTGTTCTCCACCAAGGTGGTGACTGTATTGACTCCTGCTTGGAGGACAGGTGGTCTCTTAGTTGGGACGTCCCCTTTGCCAGCGGCTCTTCTCAGCACGGGCCAGTAGCCTTTGCTTCTTCTCTTGCTTTGTCTCTGGCCTGTACTTGTGGGTAAGCTTATGCAACTGAGTAGCTGTTTGCCTGTCCAGGGCCTGGGTGAGCTGGTTAATGGCAGGAGGTACTTCAAACCACTTATAGAGGATGGCTCTTTGCCGCTGCAGCCTGATGTAGCGGGACCATTTGACGAAGTGTGTGAGATCTCTTTTGGACTGGATGTCCTGCTCAATGCCGAAGTTCTTGGCCCTTTTCTCGAACAAAGGATCGACCACCTTTTTGACCTCCTGTTTGTAGACAACAGTGGAGGCCGGGGCCACCTTCTTCCCCCTTGGCCTTCTTTCCTTCGGGCATCTTGCTTGGCTGGAGGAGAGAGAGCTGGGGTGGGCTTTGGTGTTGTGTTTGAGTCACTTCTGCTCCTGTAAGTAACCCCTTGCCCTTGTTCCTGTAAGTAATCTCAGTAATTCTCACTGGTTCACCAAGGTGGACTTTGGTGGTATTTATCGTTTGATCTGCCATGGGCTCCCTGTCTGGGGTGGAGACATGTCTGTGTTGCATCTCCCCAGGAAAACTATATCACACAACAGCAAGTCTAGAAGATGTGTCATTGTCTAAAGTGGTATTTTGAAGGTGACATGTTGTTGGGATGATCATAGTCTATCAAGAATGTTCCAAGAGAGACAGGCAAGACTGACGTGGTTGGGACAGGCAGAGGAGAGTCCAGGAATGCAGAGAAGGGTTCCCTCTCTGAAGAAGCAGGGGCTAGGTTGGCATCCTTTGCAATGGAGGAAATGAAGGTGGACGGTATGTTTATTTGGAGGAAGA